AATCACATATGAAATTTACAGTTACGTTGTGGCCCAATATCGTTGCTTGACCTTGTGCCTCCAGGTTGTAGTGTTAATTAAAACTAACAAGGTCACTATCAATAGTGAGTGCCTGTAAAACTGCTTTTTAAACGGAGTTAGCTACCCTAGCGATTCGTCTAGTCCCCCCTCTTACTACTGAAACTCCGGGGTCACCACTTTTCTTAGGGTAAAGCAGTAAAAATATACATGGTTCCCAAAGTTTCTCTGAACCTAATATGTCATAAGTTTAACTCCCAATCTATATATGGCAATGTCAGGGTTGTTCAAATGGTTCAAATGGTTGAGGACGGAATAGAAGAAGCTTTCGCTTAACGGGCTTCCGTGTCTGGTAGCAGTGGATCACCAATACCTCCAGACAAAAGCCTAGGTATATGAACGATAATAGAGGAAAAAAGAGAATTTGGTAAATCATAATAATATGTTATCCTTAGTCCTTAAGAATAAGTCAAGTTTCCTCATAAAGGACTCCTGGGAGGTCGCTTGGACTAGCTCAGTCGGCAGCGAATTCCAGCACTTGACAACTCTTACGGAGTAGAAGTTGTGTCTGCAGTCTGTTCTGCTATGTAAGGTCTCCAATTTCTGGGTGTTACCTCTCAGGTTAGTGTTATGACTAAGCTTAAGAAGATGTTTAAGGGGATGTCAAGAAGTATTAAGGATACTATAAGTCATAAGAAGATCACCTTTAAGACGCCTGTAGTCTAACGGGTAAAAGTTAAGTGATTTGAGGCGCTCTTCATAAGGTTTGAGTTTGAGTCCCCGAACTGATTTCGTGGTTCGACGTTGTATACGTTCCAGAGTGACCTTATTCTTTTGGAGGGAGGGAGGAAATACTATGTTTGCGTACTCTAAATGGGGACGAATAAAACTGTTGAAGATCATGTGGAAGGTTCTACCGTCAAACTGGCCAAGAACGCGCTTCAATGTTACCAGTGCAAGGTTCGCTCGAAAGGCATTTTTGTCACAGTTAACGTAGGACTTCAGGTCGTAGGGTACCAACACTCCTAAATCTTTTTAAACTTGGGAAACTTCTAGAGGGGAGTTACCTAAGTTATAACTATAGTCTGCAACATGTCTCAGATGGACTACTTTGCACTTTGAAGTGTTGAAGGTAAGTCCATTGTCGTCTGCCCAACTGTGAAGTCGGGTCAGATCCTCCTGAAGAACTAGTATATCATTATGATTACGTATCTCTCTCCAAAGTTTCACATCATCAGCAAAAAGCAATAAATCAGATGAAAATTGTTGGGGAAGATCGTTAATATAAATCAAGAAGAGAAGAGGTCTTAGTATTGAGCCCTGGGGGACCCCACCAGAACATTCCATAGCCTGAGAGAGAGAGTGGAGTTAACCCTGACCTTAAAGTGTCGGTTTTCTAAATATGAAGAGATCCAGTCAATCAAAGGGGGTTTTATACCCAATCGTCTAAGCTTCTTGATAAGACATACGTGGTTGACCCTATCAAAAGCTTTTGAGAAGTCCAGGTAGATGACGTCAACCTTCCCCTTGCGACCAAGGATGGTTGTCCATCTATCCACTGCAGTCAGCAGGTTGGTCATACAAGAATGACCTTTTCTGAAACCATGCTGTTGAGGCGAGAACTTTAAGGATGATAAGTATTCTAGTATACCGTCGTATATTAGGGATTCAATAATTTTGGAAAGTATGGAGAGAAGGGCCGCTGGTCGGTAGCTTGATGGTTCACTGCGTCGACCTCCTTTGAAAATTGGTGTGATGTGAGCCAGCTTCCAAATTTCCGGTAGTTTGCCTCTGCTTAGCGAGTGTGCAAACATCACATTAAGTGGTGTCGCCAGGATTGAAGCTACTTCCCTCAATACAGCAGAATGAACCATATCCGGACCAGGAGAAGTGTCTTTTCCTAGGTGCTGCAGTTTACGGAGCACCAGATCAGCACTCAGGTGCACTTCGGAAAGTCCTGTACAGGTGTAGGTGAAGCTTTCGTCAGTATAGTTGATGTGGGTCAGCTGGAATGTCTGGGAGTATTGTTCAGCCAAAAGGTTGGCGGCATCACCGTCGTTATTGGTCGGGCCATTAGGACCTAGCAGTTGGGAAACTCCAGTTTTGCCTTGTCGAAGAGAAGCTGCGTAACTGAATAAGCTTTTCGGATTGGAGACGAATTTATCGATAAGCTTGGTTTGGAACTGAAGCCTGTCTTCTCTTATTGCCTTTGAACATATGTTCCTTATGCGTTTATATTACCTGTATGCGACGTTATTGTCGGTTCGTTTATATTCGGCCCAACAGTGCCTTTTGCGGCTTAGCAAACGACGAGTGCGGTTCTTGATGATTGGAGGTTGCTTGTAGCTTTTTGGGACCATTTGAGGAACTGAATGCTCAGTAGCACATAAGATCGTGTGTAGTAAAAAATCCTAATGAACATCCACTCCAAGTTGAGGGTGAACATCCCAATCCACCTGTTATAAATAGTCATGTAAAGCTAACACCTACAACCGTTTGAAATTCCAGCGTCTGTTGTTGGTGAGATATCTTGGTTCAGTTATGCTGACCAAACTGAATAGGATAAGACGGCTTGATCACTTTTTCCCAGGGGAGCCAGGATTGAGAGGTCGTCAACTAGGAATTCTTCATTTGTGAATACCCAGTCTAAGCGTGACGGCGTCTGACTGTTTCTCCAACGAGTTGCCGACTTCACATTTTCGAATAATCCCAGGCCACCGATAAGGTTGAAGAACAGAGCTTCAGTAGAGTTGTCACCTCCAATGTGTGTATGTTCCACTAGTTGATTCCAAGGAGATTGAAGTCCCCTAGAATCAGGATATGAGAGAATCGGAGATGCGTAGAGCGAGTTAATCCTTCCAGCAGACGTTTGTCATACTCGATGTCGGCTGTGGGCTTCCTGTAAATGACTCCAACTAGACACCTCGAGGTGGTAGATAATCTTACTGAGCACCATACTGACTCATAAAGATTGAGAAACTCTTGGTTATGAAGTTGGTGCGCCTCCAGGCATTACCGTATGTATAGTGATACCCCACTCTCCATTCCTGTTTTTCTGTCGTTGCGAAATAAAGACATTCCAGTTATTGCTAGATCCTGGTCCGTATTCGGCATTCGTGTATAGGCAGTTTATGCTTTCAATTTGGAACGCGTGATCTTCTTCCTGTTTATCTATATCAGCCGTGCGTGAGTGGACAGGTAGCCTACCTATACGATGTTTACCGAGTTGGTAGTCCCTGTCTTTTACACGTTTTTTTATGATCAAGACAGTCCACGAGTGGAATTGTCAGCTCCAGCTTTCGTTTGTGCTTGATCCTGCTGTCGTGGGGCCTATCCGGATGCATATGGATGCCAGTTGGCAAATGACGTCTGTTGGCACGAAATGCTTCCAGAGTTGCAGCCGCCATGTGGGAGGAGGGGAAGGTTATCTTCAGCAGCCGGGGCCTAGAGTCTCCGTCTCTCTTGGCCAGTCTCATTACCTGTTGGGTCAATGTGTTCTTGAGTTTTAAGGAATGCTTAATGAATTTCCATTCCCGAATATCAGAGTCTGATTGAGTTGGGTCCATATTTTCCGGTATACCTTGCACAATGATGTTTCTTCCACGGAAAAACGCCTCGCGAGATTCCTTAGGGATGTTCCGGATAAGATTTCGTTCAGAATACGGTATGTCGGGCAGTATCCTTACGTTCCCATCGGATTTCAGTAAGTGACTGGCTAGCAGGACGTCTTCTACGTCGGAGGCATTCTTAAGTGTAACACGAAGCAGCCTCGGGTGGTTTAGGTGGTTAGAGTCCTTCCCCTGAGTGAGCCGTGTGACCGTCAAAGACTCTTCTAGAGAGTTCAAGCCTCTTGATTAATTCTCCCCAGAGCATCCTATCGTTTTTGTCCTGCATACTGAGAGGAAGGTCGGGGTTGTCAATAAGGTTCATGATTATGACAGAGTCGTCACGAACCGCAATTGATTTCCCAGGTTTTTCAGGGCGTCTAGGTTTGGTATCTTGTTGCTTGGATGTCGAGGCGCGTTTTCGCTTCCTGGGCTCAGTGATGACCGGGCGGACAGTCTTGGGGGTAGACTGTGCGGCCAAAGCATCAATTGATTTCCGCATGATACTTGGGACGTTGAGTTTCGGAGGGGACGCTTGAGCTTTATTACTACTGTTAACGTGAGTCCATCCACCTACAGGATTTTTGGGAACCACTGTCTCATTCAAGGACTGTTCCCTGCGGGACCCAAGTTTACTGAGGGGTTCGATGTTAAGATGGTGCTGAGTTTCAGCACATCATCACTCGTGCTGTTAACAGCACCGTCGATAACCGACCTGTCAGTATCCTTTTTCTTATTTGCCCTATGCTTTCCAGCTTTGTTACCCGTCATGATGATATCATTTACCGAATTCTTAGACAACTTATCTCTCAGACCTGTCAGTAAAGTAATGATGGTACCCAACATAACTACGGTATCAGTGTTGCAGGTAACACATACCCACCTACGACCAGACTTGCCGAGTCTGCTATAGGCTGCTGCTGTTAGATCTGTACATGCTTCGTGGAACCAACCTTTACAGTTGTCACATTGCATGCCAGATGTAACGGCAAAACGGCAACCAGGTCTTTTGCATGAATTTTTCATGGCTAATGATTTAGACTGTCTTAAAAATACGAGCAGTAAATTTAGGACCGTTAAAAAAACACACAGTAAACGAAAACTATCAAAAATGTATAAAAACAGTTAACGATAAGCTAAAGCTAGTCTTCACGTGAAAACTATAAAAAAAAGCCGATAGTGAGCTGAGGCAAAACCACAGTTAACTATTAATTTGAGTGAAACACAAAAAAAGAAGTAATCCACCGAACGTATAGCTCAGAATATATTCTTAAGATCGGAAGTGGTACTTTTGTTGCGTAAGAACACAGCAAAAGTTTGAGAAATGTAAATCACGTTAGGACTAAACTTCCCATTCGAAAAGCGCGCGTGTACCGCATTGTTATTCGAATAAATTCATTCTTTAAACAAATAAATCGCTTCAACGTTTGCGATACATTCCAATATCACTATCATGCACTTTTTATCTTTCAAGCTTATTCAGTAAGCAAGTTTTATTACGTCGTCCTACATTGTTTTGTACATTTCGCCACATCCTATCACTGTCCGGGAAATTTAAGTTAGTGTGCAGCTTGCTAGGCAGCACGCTGAAATTTTTCAAAAAAACAGATAAAACCTTAAAAAAATCATAAAAACATAGAAAACCACAAAAATATGGCTGTTAGTGCAGCGAGTCAAGGGTTGATGAATTCATCACTATATGTAGGAGATCTACACCCAAGAGTTTCTGATTCCGCGTTGCAAGCTAAATTTTCTGAAATCGGTCCAGTCCTTAGTGCTCGTGTTTGCCGCGATCTAGCCACTCGTCATTCTCTCGGGTATGGATATGTTAATTTCGAAGATCCAAAGCATGGTAAGTCCAGATACAGTAAATGACTTTGCAGCTGAACAAGCGCTGGAAGTCTTGAATTATGAGTCACTAATGGGACGCCCTATCAGAATTATGTGGTCACAGAGAGATCCATCTTTGAGGAAATCTGGGAAAGGAAACATATTTATCAAAAACCTGGATAAATCCATTGAACAGAAGGAATTGTATGACACTTTTAGCTTTTTCGGTCGAATCTTATCGTGCAAAGTATGTTCTATTAATTTTGTAATATTTTCTATAGATTGTTATGGACGAAAACGGACAGTCCAAAGGCTATGGTTTTGTACATTTCGAGAAGGAAGAGTGTGCCGAACGTGCCATTGAAAAGATTAACAATATGATTATTCGAGATCGTGTTGTTTATGTTGGCAAGTTTATTCCCAAAACAGAACGTAAATCTCAAGCTCGAAAAGTTAAATTCAATAACCTCTATATCAAAAACTTCCCACCGGAAACCGATAACGAAAAGCTAAAAGAAATGTTTTCTGAGTTTGGAGAAATCAAGAGTGCTTGTGTCATGAAAGATAGCGAAGGGAAATCAAAAGGGTTCGGATTTGTGTGTTTCTTAGATCCTGACCACGCCGAAAATGCGGTCAAGACTATGCATGGTAAAGAGATAGAGGGAAGAGCTCTGTACTGTGCTCGTGCTCAACGCAAAGAAGAACGACAAGAGGAACTAAAGCAGAGACTTGAAAAACAAAGGGCCGAACGTCAGTCCAGCTATATGTTGAACGTCAATTTATATGTCAAGAACTTGGATGATAATATCGATGATAAACGACTAGAGGAGGCTTTTAGTGTTCATGGTTCTATTACTAGTGCCAAGGTTATGAAAGATGCAAATAATCGATCCAAAGGTTTTGGATTTGTTTGTTTTGCGAACCCTGAACAAGCGGCCAGGGCAGTAACTGATATGAACGGAACAATCATAGGTTCCAAGCCTCTATATGTTGCACTAGCTCAGAGGAAAGAAGATCGTCGGGCAAAGTTAATTGAAGAACATCAGCAGCGAATGGCTCAATACCGGAATCCAGTCGCCTCAATGATTCCAGCAGTTCCTGGCCACGCAGCACCTCATAGCTTCTTCCCTCCTGCCTTCCAGCAGACCCAACGGTTTTATCACCCTTCGGGCGCTGTCCTTAGTTCGCAGCCTCGTTGGAATCGAGCGGCCGGGATACCCGCACAAATTGGTGGCCTTCCAAACAGACCGCCTGTTGCTGGATACTATCCTAGTGCGCCCAATCCTGCTGCTATTACAGCTAACCAAATGGCTTCTTTCGCTCAATTCCGCACACCAGGTGTCAACAGACCAATGGTACCCAACGGCATGTCATCCATACCCTCAACTCACTTACAAACTGCAGCTGTTTTCAACCAGACCGCCAATCAACAGAGACAACAAGCATCTGGGAGACAGGGTGTAATTGTTCCTCAAGTGCTTGGGGCTACAGCTGGTGGTTTGAATCAACGTCCAACTGCAGCTTCAGTAGTTGCAGGTCCACCGTCAGCCAATCCTGCCATGCGAGTAAGTATTTTTTGCTGTCAAGCTTCTATTAAATTACTTTCGTAGTATTTTGTTGTCTTAGCGCTCGGTTGTTGTAGTTCTACTTAAAGTATGAAAAGCTCTAGTTAGCGACGAGACACTGTGGGTTTTTCCTCCCTTTGATGCCATGAGTCATGCCTTTTCACCATACAGCCAGTTATTAAGTTGAGCGGTGTGATTTGTTTAACACGAAATCCAGATACTTCTATGATTTTATGTAGCACGTTACTGAACACTGCAATATTAAGCATATCTTCCTTTCTCTGACTTAGGTTTAGTTCATATTGTGTTTGTTGCTTATTGATTATTCGTAGACGCTGACTAGAGTTGTTTCCTCTGCAACTGTTTTGAACCAAAAGCAGATATCCAGTCACCTGGATTATGCAGTTATGTTTATTACTAACCCATGAAACTTATCGCTTCAAAAGTGTTCGAAAAGGTCCGTTTCAGTTAAGAAAGGATAAAAAGCTAGGTGGCCTGTGTTAGTTTTGGCAATGATATTCTCTCAGTTGACCCAATTCTTTTGCAGGAGTAGATAGATGGAGCTTCAGTCACGTGTTTAGGTAACGAGTCCCATTTTTTGATTCGATAGAAAAGTTAATAATCCTAGGCTTGTGAAAATTTTTAGAGTCCTCGTAAATTCTTTGCTGTACAAGACAAGAAAAAATGGAGGCAAATCAGATACAAACTTAACACTAAGTAGTTTTAGAACTGTAATTAAGACCCCTTCTGGTTCTTCGATATGACGATGGAAATAAGTTTATCCAATCAAGCATCATACGGGGGTTTCGCTTTTCCGGGAATCAGCTTAGTTGTGGCTCTTGGAAACTTTTTCCAAAAGCTCACTTGTTTTTCAATCAGGAGCTAACCGCTTGTATTCATTACTGTATACAAAGTCAAAAAGGTTTTAGCTTTTACATGTCTAAAGGCGCTACGTTTTGACCATAGGGTTGTAAAACCTTTGGCGACTGTAACACGGAAGTGTGCAGTAGCTTTTAGATCTTGGCTAACGACGACTCCCAAGTCATTGTGTGTCTGGACAAAAGATAGCTCATTGTTATTCGCCGTGTATGTATTTGTACCTGGATAACCAATGTGCATCAAAGTACACTTGAAAGCATTTATCGGCAACTGCCTAGTTTAAGACCGTTCAGATAGTTCCTCCAGGTCATTTCGAAGTTCTAAACTGTCGCCCCTTCATCGCTTACCATGTCTTGACGTCGTCAGCATCTAACAAGATCGATGATGACAGGAGACATGGAAGGTTGTTTACATACAAGAGGAATAACTGACCCAAAAACTGTACCATTAGGCACTCTACTAAGCACAGTTTCCCAGCTAGACAACTTAAAGTTCTCCCGTACTCTCTGTTGGCGCCCAGCTAGGAAATCTTTTATCCACATTATTGAATTGCCTGCAAGCCCAATATTTCTCAACTTATATAACAATCGTTTGTGAGAAACTTTGTCAAAAGCTTTGCTGAAGTCAATGTAGGCTACGTCTATAGGTAACCTTTGACTTTTGAGAGCGCACCAGCGTTCACAAGCCACTAATAAGTTAGTGAGACAGAAATAAGTTGTTCTGAAGCTGCGCTGCTTTTCAGAAAGAATCTGGTTTTCATCGACATTTTAACAGCTTTCGAATAATCTAAAGTTTTAACAACCACTAACGGGTCGGTAGTTCTCAGGTTCATATTTCGTTCTTGTTTTGAAGATAGAGACCCCCAAATGCCCTGGTGCGGCCGGAAGTGAGAAAAGTCCGCCCTCGGAATGCTCTCACACGGCCACGCATATACAGCCTCTTCTAGGGAAGTCCTACTCCCTTCTCGCGGCATTGCTGTTGTTTACGAAGTCAAGAGAACGAAAAGCACATGTCTTTAACCGGGTTTGTGGATATAGAGTATCAACCTAGGAGAGTTGGGAAACCCTGATTCCAAACCAATGATGCACATGGGCTCCAGAATCCTGACGGAACAAAAGGCGTATGAACCAGTCATTGGTCACCGGCTACCATGGAACTACATCTCCTGACGTGGGCACACTGCCTTGTGGGTTAGACCTTTAGGTCGAAGGCTCCGTGCGGTCCCTCTAAGAAAACCACCTTCAGTTTGGGCACCTGGGCAGTATCACAGCCCTCACACAAACCAAATGGGATTTGTGTGGTGCATATCTATCTGGTGCTTCCTTGCACCAATATTTGTGTTCAAATAAATAACATGAAGACGTTCTTCCAGTCGTTTGGCAAACGACCCTGGGTCACAGATAAATTAAAACGTATACTTAAGTGGTTCACAACAAAATTTGCTAGTTTGTTTAGTAACCTAGGGTGCATTTCATCGGGCCCCGTAAATTTGCATATATCTAGTTTAGCAGACTAGAGAACATCGAATTCTTTCATGGTCACGTTGTCTAGTGCTTGTGGGGAGGGTTTCTCCATGGTATATGCATTGCCAATGTAGTTTGAGAATACTCAGGCTTTACCATTGTCATCCTTCACTAATAATGAAATATTACTGTCTCACCATAGCGCTGGAATATTTCCTCTTCCTCAAATACAAGCTTCCGGCTCATTCAAGTCGCTTCGTAACTAAACATTGGTTAGCACTCAAGTTACTCGAAAATAACCAAACAAACAAAGCTAGGGATCGGATCTAAGATTTTTCGGACTTTCCAAGTCAAGCGTGATTTGTGAGCAAATCTTCCCACTAATGACACCTTAAACTTGGCTCGTTATTCTAAATGATCAGGCTCGTGGCTGGGTTCTAAAAAGCTAAAAATCACTTAGTTTTATGTGTAAAATTAGGTAAAGTGTTATTCGTTTCAGCCTGTGCTTCGCAATTCGTACTTCGTTGTTTATACTCTTCCCTGGTCTTTTGGACCATTGTAGTTGAGATTTTAAATCCTTAATGTGTGTTTGAAATGCTTCTTTTATAAGAATATGTTCACATGTACTAGTAAACATGATTTGTAGATCTTATGGTTCACAACGCAATAGTAAGGTCAAGAAATCAGGCTTAAGTTTAGCGGTCACTTAATATGAACAAAAGTTTTTGGGCTATCATCGATTAATCAGTTGGTTGACAGCTGTTAATGTTTATTTTGTTTGTATTTCTTGATAATAAAATCACTTTTACTTTCCTTAAAGCAACAGGTAGCCTCGCAAGTTCCAAGAGCCGTAATGCATTCCGGTATGTCAAATATAACCAGTACAGCAACAAATGTTAGGTTCCATCAGACAGCCCGCAATGTCTCAGCTCAGCCTACGCTCGTTCCAGCTGGAAGTATGTCTACACTCTTACAACCCCTTGGCGATCAAGGGCAACTAACAATAAGTGCATTGGCTCAGTTGTCAGAAGAGGACCAGAAAAGAACGCTCGGGGAACATCTTTATCCACGTATCAAGGCAATGTATCCTAACTTGGCCAACAAGCTTACGGGAATGCTTTTGGGAGTAGATAACGCAGAGGTTATAAATCTTTTAGAATCTGAAGAACTGCTACGCGCTAAGGTAAGATTGTTTGCTCATACACAGTGATAATGGTTTTCCACTTTGGTTGGAAACCCTATTCAATCTGTTTATTAAAGTTCTTCAGAGAATGCATTTCGCAACTTCGTACAATTATGCTAACTGTTACACGCATGTAAATTCTAATGGTTGATGGTATGGTTCAGACGACGGATCGTAACTGTTGGGTTAGATGGCTCTGTAAAGAGAGCATAGCATTATGAAGTATCAAATTCTCACTTGGAAATATCATAAAGGAAGCAATCAACCAATAAGGAAATATAATAATGATTATGGGGTGAGAAGTTAAGTATATCAATACCCAATCTTTAACGGATATTACTAGAAAGTTATTGTTTCATAAAATTGAATGCCTTATTTTTGAATGAATGGTTTGAGTTGTTGGTTTAAACCTAAGAAGTTTGAAATAAAAAAAATAGATTAACATTCCTGTGCCGACATTTGTTACCTTTAAACGTCTGTTTCAATATTATTTACCCGACTGTATCACCGCACGTAAGGAATATTTCTAAGACGTGATGAAGTACAAGAAACCTGTGCATTACCTCTATCGTCGACGACCATGTTTAATAGCCACAAAGCGAACTGCTGCGCACTACATTAATGTAATAATAGATTTCTCTCCTATCCCACAAACGATACAAACTGTTAGTAGCCGTATGAAATTTTTGACCGCATGCTGAAACTTCAGTCGTCAGCTGTTCAGGGCTAATGAAACTTCTAAAATCAATAAGAAATCAATGCGCTCAAGCAACAGATTGCGCTTAAATACAGTTTATGAGAAAGGAAAATCCCGAACATTTTAACACGATACCTGAGGGTCAAGTAGACACTTTTATCAGGGTTATGGAATACAGGTAGGTTTTCTACCCAAACTTACAATCTCTTTTGACTCAGGCCGCTAACCAGAAATTTCCAAACACATCTGCTTTAGGCTCTTTTCTAATCGCTGCCAACTGATATCCATTTTAATGTGTGGATTCACACATTGTCCTTATTTATTGATGATGCTGGATGGGTACATAAAAGCTTGCATCTCTCTCCGGCTGTTGCTCTTCGGGATCCTTCACTTGTGAGTATCTGAGACCTACTGCGGCAGTTGTTGCTACGCTGACTGTCTTCACCTACATTTGTTGCTGTGTGTGGTATAGAAGAGCTAGTTGATCTGAAAAATCTAATTCGTTTAGTTGCATCCAGGCTGTCTGCTGTATTCGGTGCTTCCTCTGAGGTGTGCAGGTCTTCATAATCTAGATGAAAGGTGAATTAAAGTAAAGAAAAGCAGACAACCTTGTCTGACGCCAATCTTTACTTGGAGTGTATTTGTGATTTGCCCTTTATTCACGACTTTTTCCGTTCAACCCCCGCGTAGGAGTTCCGTATGATGGAGACTATCTCATGTAGTGTCAAAGATTCCTTAATGTTCTATCCACGACGTCGATTCGTTTCATAATCAAGGTAATTGATGTGTAGTGACGAGTTTTGCTCGATTGGTTGTTCAACAATGGTCTAAAGTGTCGCGATTTGTTTGGTACATAGTTGATTCATACGTAACTCAGCTTGTTAATTTCAAAGTTGGGCGTCTTTTGAGTCCTCCATTCTTTTCAGCAATACTCCACCTGGGGCTGGTAGTAGTGAGATACCTCTGAAGTTGTCTTAATAAGATATCTGGTATCTTGACGATGTATTTATTTCTTGTCTGTTGGTACTCGTTTCTCTTCCTAAATCTTTTTTTGAGAAAACGTTGAATGTCTTTGGAGTTACCACCATATCTGACTATGTGTGCTGCTTTGATGCGCTGTGGGCTCAGTAGGTTTGATCCATTCAAGAGCTCTTCATAGTATCCTACCCACCTATCCCACCTTTCTTAATCCCTAACGTTTGGATATTCTTTTTTCCTGACTGGTCACTCTTGTCTACTGTATTTCCCTTTTAGCTTCTTAGTTGTGTGCTCTAATAAGGTGATACGTCTGTTTTCTCAGAAATGTTTGTAATAGTCTAAAGCACTTGTCAAACTACAATAAAGTACGGAAAAGACAATCCTATCTGACCTGAGATCTTAGAGCATGTTCAGATTCGTTCATTCCTGTAGAGATAACCAAATTATTTTATTTATCAGTGGTCATCTAATATCACTTTTAGCTCTCGCATTGTTGTATATGATTTCATAGTGTATTTGATGATTAATTAGTTCAGCTTTTACTTTTTAAATGTATTGTCTCTTGCTGTTTTCACACATTAAAATATTTTTCACATTTGTTGTAAATTGTGACAGATCAGTTCACACCTCTTTATTTAACTGCAGTGAAACTAGCAATTTTTGTGAAACTGCTTCAATAAACTTCTTTGTGATAAAAAAACAATTGACTTATTGCTTCTAATCGTTTGGAATGTGACTACGTAAGTTTACAAGGTACCATTCATTCCGTCTCCAAGCCGTTACCATGTGAGAGAAGGATATTCAAGTATTAAGACGAAATTTAGCAGCGAAGTGTAAACCGTTAACTCTACAAGTAAAATTTGCAGGCAGTGATTTTTGAACAAACACTAGTCATTAGTTTGTAGGTAAAATGATCATTGATCTAAAGTACTCACCTGCAAACAAATATCTCATACGGCTGTGGAACATATAGATTGTCAGTGTGTTATGTTATATTTTCCTTGCCGGCAAACATTGTTGATTAGTTTACAAGATTAACTAAACATTTCTTTGTTTTTTCCCAGTGTGAAGAAGGCATTAATGTACTGAGAAGCAGTCAAAATCAACAAGGTGACATTGCAGAAGGTAGACATACCTCAACAGGTCAGAATGGTGATGGCTCAACTGGGACAGGGTCTATGAAACCTGAAGATTCCAATAACTAAGTCGAGGGTATCTTCCCAACAACATTCTTTATTTAACTTTATCGTCTGTCAGTCCTATTACTTTCACTTCAACTGTTAATTAGGGTGATTAGTCCTAAAAAATGTTTTATTAGTTTGAGGTTTCTCGCTATTATACATGGTGATCAATAGTTCTTTGTGTTTGATGAATCTACTACACTTGTTTGTTTTCAACTCTTCTTTCTTTCTCAACCGGATGTTAATTGACTTTCGTGTTATTGTTTTTTACCAAGTTTATTTGATGTTGAAATACAGTTTTGGATAATAAATGTAGTCTTATGATGTAGTAAGATCACTGCAGTATAGCTCGAATTCGTAACAGGGTCCTTCCTTAACACCTAGAATAAAGGTTTATATCTTTGTAATATTTGATAACCTATAGGTTTAAATATTTTCCCGTCCAGAACTGTACAGTATAAACCTCAACCGTTGACGTGGTTTCCCTTAGACAACTAGTTTCCTGAATTGATGGTTCTCACAATGGACGAAGATTTTTCGAGTAATTTGTCCGTAAAGTAGCGTACATTGATCCACAGATTTCTGTCTCCGGCTATCATGGCTTTCGGTGCATCGGTAAAATCTAAAAAAGGGAAGATATATTTGTGTTCAGCCTCAGGCGGTTTTGTTCCTCGCTATCATACTGCCCGGATGACCCGTGCTATTTTGTTTTAGGTCTCAAAGGGAATTATCCTTTTATAATTTGTGGTCAACCAGGAAGTGAAGACCACCGTCATACCTCTAATAGCACTCAAGATTACTTTTTTCTCAATTAAGTCACGTTTTGATCTAGTATTCCCATTTTCACTACTAACTTTCGTCTATCTTCAAATTCTGTCACGTGTCATCGATGATTAGCTCGGGTTCAACAAATAACATTTATTCTATGTAGTATCATTCGATATTGTAAGTATTTGGTAATTGGTTTTCTACTTATTAGAGGTTATTATCTACCTGAGCTTATCTGGTAAATTATAAGTATAGGACGAAACGGCCGTCCAGTGCTTCCAGGTTTTCGATGGTGGTCTAGCCTCAATTGACTCATGATCTTAACTATAAAATTACTAAATCTCCACAAAAACCCCCTTGTGATAATGATCATATGCTCACTAGGGACTGGCTCCTTGAGGTAATTCCTGGAGTTCTAGTGAGAAGTCGTGGCCAGTGGAGCTAATCCATGTCAGATAGAGACAGGTATCTACCTCAGTACATTGGAAGTTGGTTGCGCAATTTCGTGGATTGGTTGAGGTTAGACATAAACACCGTTGGATGCCAGCTCAGTGGTCTATCGGTTAAGGGCTCCGGCTCGAGACTGGTAGGTCCTGAGTTCGAATCTCGCGAGAGCGGGTTCGTGGATGCGCACTGCTGAGGAGTCCCATAATAGGACGAAACGGCCGTCCAGTGCTTCCAGGTTTTCGATGGTGGTCTAGCCTCAATTGACTCATGATCTTAACTATATAAGTATAGGTTTTACTCGTTGATATTCAGGGTTGAATTTTGACCATCTTGTGTTGGCATCTGTTCTTATATAGCCGTCATTCCAAAAGTTATGTAGAATAGATATGTTGTGGCTAGCAGTCGAATCTAGAGAGCGCATTTTGTCCAATTTGGGATTCGTTAGCTAGGTTTGTTTACATGGGGATGTTAATAATCACATGGTGATCAGAACACAGTACCTTTATATTCAAACCCCCATTGCATTATCTGCTTAGCTATTGAGCCCAGGTAGGCACTAACATGTTCAATGGGAATGATGCTTATATTATTATTCATATGAATCTGAGTTATCTACTTATTAATATTCGGGTTGTACCAAACTCTTACTGTTAGCGACAAACATCACACACGTTTGTGGCCGTTTGAATTCATTAGTTCAAGCAAATTTTATGTAGAAATCTACATGAAAGGCCATTGACTTTCCAGCCCAATAATTTCTATTCGACAGTAATTTTGTTTAACTATTGAGGTTAGTGTTTCGAGCGTTAACACAAGACAGAAGCTATCAAGGACTGTTGTACTATCTCATTATTTTCAGACTGTAACAGTTTTATTATTCCCATTTGACATGGTGTATTTTTTTGATCAGGTTTATGGATAGTCAGTGATCTTTTCAAGTCTACTCAAACTATGTCCCGTAGACAAAATTCTGTATCTATTTCACCTGAGTAATTTGTTTTATTATATCCGTGAATGTTTTTTCTAATTTCGATTTAACTTCCCACTCCATCGCTTGTTGTAGGTCATAGTTATTTCGTGTGCCTATCATTTATAAATGTAATTTGTTTTAAACGAATTGTTTCTCAATCTATTATTGTACACGTTTCTATTTTAATCATATGCTTATGTGTGTTGAAATATAATCATTTTAATCGGCACGTTATTTGATCTTTAGGTATTGATATGTTTGAAAAAATTGGAAGAATATTTTGCAATCTAAGAGTCAATACAATGTTTTGATAACAAATGTTTATTCGGATGAGAGTACTGTAAAGATCTCTTATTCATCACACCAAAGATTAAATTTGAACTTGAAAACCATTGAAAATCAGAGGGTACGAAACTTCCAGTATGGGACTTCTCAGTAGTACGTAACCACAATGGGTTGATCTAGGAACTTTTAACCCTGCAAAAACTATGAAATGACTGAAGTTTGACATGTAGACTACTGGTTACTAGCTCAGTGACTTAAGGCTATGAGTTCGATATGTGATATGGGAATGAACTTTTTTGGTGTTCCATATTTGGGTGAAACAGCTGTCTCGTTCTTCTTGGTCTCTGACTGTTATCTAGCGGAAGTCTATCCATGATGCGAATTATCACTTAAAGATTTCATTGACATTTGCATATATGTTATTTCTGCCTTGATGTAAGATACTTGGGGATAATATCTAAGAAATGAATTGACTGTAATGGTATTATCTTTGTCTTATTAGTTGTAACATCAATTAGGATCGTGCTGTATTTAAAGATGTTGCTTCTGCCTTTGTGTATGTTGAGGCCTACTGGTGTGGATGCTGCTGCTACTACACCAGTTGTTTTCATCTGCATTTGTTCGTGTGTATGGGATAGGAGATTTAGGTTATTTGTGAAGTGAAAATCATCTAGTTGATTCCGAGCTGTTCATTGTACTCCGTGGTTCCCGTCAGGTGTCGAGGTTCAGGCAGGTACCAAAAGAAAGGGAAAGAGTAAGCAGCCTTGTCTGACTCCGGTCTTCACTTGTAACTAGCTGCTGGATACATTCACACTCAGGTCACACAGTTTCAGACAGTTATGGCGTTGACCATTACATACTGATCAATTGGTGTCGTTTAGAAAAAACAATTTTTCAATTGAATATTCCTGTGTATCTGTTCATAATGGTTTTAAGCGATGGAGAGTCAGAGTGAAATACTTGTATAGTCTCATTATAAGAACTGTAAAGAATTAGCCATTGGTGAGGCTGAATAATATTGGTATGTGATAGTGGAAAAAGCGATTTTGTATGAGTATAAGTAATAATAATCAATTTATCAGTTGAAGAAAAAAAGCTACAGGTAGAAATGCAACTGACATCTGCAATCCTTAAATTTGAAAATAATGCATACTGAAATATAAATTAATAATTAGCCACTAGATTATCATTGTACCAAGTCGGGTAAAATATATGTAAGAGCCCATGGGACACTTAATCTCGCAAGAATGATACCGTGGAGATATGGTATTAGTGTCACTACATATAAGTGATGTAATTCGGTTTAACTAATAATTAGAAGATAACTAAGAAGAGTTAGGGCTGTAAAAACACAAAATAACAATGTTTTTTGTGACGAGATGTATCTCGAATCACTGATCAGGCTTGTGTTAAGACAAGATTAGAACTTATGAACTCAAGTGATAGTTGTCATTGTTTTATAAAGGATTGATTTCACCTAATTAAGCATAGTAATTAAGTTCGTCAAATTTTATGTACTGAATGTGAAGCTAAAAGAATGAGTCAGATTAGCTAAATATGGTCAATCAAGTTACTGAAACACAGGAACGTAGACAACTTAAGGATAAAAAGCCCGAGAAAAGTAAGAAATTTATTTTAAAAATGACTGGCTTTTTGTAATTATATACAAGTACAAATTATCGGAAGTAATAAATGTCTCAAAACATAGTTACCTTGGTGATGCTAAATACTCAGAAAACCATTAAATGAATAGTTTGCTATTTTATTCTCTAAATTTCATTTATTTTTCTCATCGAACCTTCCCATGGAAGCAATTTTCCGATTTTACCGCATTTTACGAATTTGTTTTCATATTGGCATGTGTCCCTTTTAGTATTCTAAATTTTCACTCTCTCTTTCGGGTCATTATACATATTCCCTTGGTATTATATGCTTGAATCTTCCTATTGATGTTAAGGACTGAAATTGACCAGTCTCTTATTGGTATATCTGCATAATGTGAGGATTGGCTCGATAATGAGGCGAATGGTACTGGGTTCGAGTCCCAGAGTATATATATATAATTTGGCAGTTACCTATATTTATGGCCCCCAAATGCCCTGGTACGGCCGAGAGTGGGGTGAGTCTGCTCTCCCTCTCACATGGCCACGCGAATATATAGCCTCTGTCAGGGAAGTCCTACTCACTGCCTTCTTGTGGCAGGGGTGTTGTTCACGAAAATGTGAGGACGAAAAGCGAATGTCCAGCGCTTTAACCGGGTCGGTGGACACAGAAAGTCCACCTAGGGGAGTTTGAAAACCCTGATTCCAAACCAATGGTGCACATGGGATCCAGTATCCTGAGGGAACAAATGGCGCATGAACCAATTGTTGGTCACCGGCTACCATGGAACTGCATCTCCTGACGTGGACACACTGCCTTGTGGATTAGACCTTTAGGTCAAAGGCTCCGGGTTTGGTCCCCTAAGAAAACCACCTGCTTCAGTTTGGGCACCTGGGCAGTATCACAGCCCTCACGCAAGTCGAACGGGATTTGTGCGGCGCATATCTATCTGGTGCTTCCTTGTACCAATATTTTTGTGTTTAAATAAAATAAACCTATATTTATGAACAAGACTTACCATAAAATATTTTTATTTTAGAACTTTGTATATTTAATTAGCAAATTAGCATAGCACTGCCCACTAAAATATTGATTTCCTTTTCCACTATGCAATGGATATTTTAGTCGTTGATCTTACAATTTATTCTAAACGAGAGTACAAATATTTATACAAAAACTGCAAACTGTGTACTGACAATCATTTCTCTTATAATTCATACTAAACAGTTAAGTTAGTGATTTCACTATTCAGTAGGTTATATCACGATTTTTATCCCAGACTTGGAAAAATACTAATACTTAATGTATGACAATCAGTCATCTAACTGGGTATCATCAACGAAATGACTTCCTTACTCCTGTTACTCTTCGTGCGGCATAGGGCGCCGACCAGAAATCTTCAACTAACTCTGTCCTGGGTTCCCCCTTTCCAGGATTTGTCAAGTGCTATTCATTCTTTTGATGTCTGCCTCCAATTCCCTGCGCAGTGTGTCGTCCGGCCAGCATCTTATCCTTTTACCTTGGGGACTCCAGATTGGAACTCGTTTTGTGATGCAGTCTGATTACTCCCGTGAGGTTTGATCTATCCACTTCCAGAGCCTTTCCTGAATTTCCTCTCTGCCATGCTAGGTTGTTGTTTGTGATATCTTGACAACGGATCCAAAGTATCTTGCGTAGACAACTGCTTATAAATGCTCGCACATTTTTTAATAGTGCTTGAAGTTGTTCTCCAAGTTTCAACTCTGTACAATAGACTGTCTTAGCATTTGTTTTGAAAATTTTGACTTTGGTGTTAGTTGACATTTGTTTTGAGTTCCTGATATTCTTCAATTGTGGGAATGCCACCAAAGGAATAGGTCCGAATAGTGAAGTGGAAGTTGGGGTGAGAAGTGGGAAAGCTGATCGTCAAGTTTGACAGAGTATAAAAAACGTTAAGTGTTTAAAAATGCTTAAAACTTTATCATTTGTTATATGTTATTTTTCTCCATCATTCTTTTTTTCATACAGTGCCAATTACTCATTTGAAGCGTAAGAGGCCGAGTTAACATGTCATAGTTTATCTTATTTGAATAGCTAAGGCAGTATAAAATCGGTATCATAAATCTAATAAGCATCAAGAGTCGGAGGACAACCTTAATATCACTGAATTGTTGCCTAGTTCCCAATCATAAAGAGCATGTTTTAGCATTAGTGTCGGGAATTCTAACTTAAGTCGTGAATGACAATTCTTTTGTTATCTGGATATTCTCTAACTGTAGGTGTATCATCTTTGCTTTATTAATTCGTACCTTCGCATCAGCATCAGATCCCTCTTTTTTATCAATCATGCTGCACAGGTACGTAAACAATTTCTCCTCTTCCAGAGTTTCTCTATAAAGTGTGACTTTTTTGGTTGTCTTAGTGTTGTATTTTAAGATCCTTCTCTTCCTCTTGTTTATGCTGAGGCCTACAGCTGCGGAGGCCGCTGATAGACTGGCTGCCTCTACCTGCATTTGTTGCTGACTATGGAATAAAAGAGCTAAGTCATATAAGAAATCCAAATAGTCTAACTAGCTGTCGTATAACAACGATTATTATTATTATTATTATTATTATTATTATTATTATTATTATTATTATTAATGGCTTTATTCTATATTATAATCTGGTACAATATAGAATTCTCAGCACGAGTTATTTCAACAAGTTTTTTACCAAAAAAACCCCAAAAAACAAAAGGAATAAAAAAGGTTTAAGAAAATCTGACTTTATACAAATTATCGAATTTGAGACATGCTTAAGAAGACAGGTTATTTACTAGGTCAACTCTAACAGCCTGTTCGTCACAAAGTAAATTTGCTAGGTAAGGTATTACAGAACTTTTATAGACTTGCTTGCGTGCATGGAGTTTAATGTATTTACGTCTCGTTCTACCAGAAGATATACAAGGAGAAAGATATGAATGAAGCGGATGGTTAGTATCTGATAAGACAACACCTGCAGAGAGTTTGCAAGACTTAAGATGTCTATCCACAAACATATTAACAATGACTTCAAAAGATTCACCACATACCTTGCAAACCGCCTTCAGCACTCTACGCAAAACAGCAAAGTCTTTTCTCAAAAGCCCGGGAAAGAATAATGGAGAACAATATAGAATAATAGGTAATATGCAAGAATTTACAAATTATAAGAGTAAATGGCAAGTAATCCCAAAAGCATGCAGCCTCTTTATGTAGTATGTCAAACGGTAAACTTTTTTCGATAACAGTAAAACATGAGAAGACCAAGAAAGATCAGAGGAAAAAATGATACCAAGATATTTGACCTTCGACACTGTGTTTATTAAGGAGTCTCCAATG